ATGTATCCTGGTTGCTACATTGAGTCAATAGTATAAATAAAGCTTGATATTTATTTATGGGATGATATATAGTGACATAGAGAATACTTAGAAATATTTTAGATGTGAGTTTAAGAATCATATAAGCGGCCCTCCCTGGTGGCGCAGCGGGTTAAAGCTCAGCACTGAGAAGCTTAAGCCACTTTCGCATGAGTTCGGTCCCCGCCTGCCCCCGAGGAGATCCACATGGCGTGGCAGACCTCTCCTGACCTGCCTGCTGCTCCCCTCAGCAGTGTACTTCATTGATCTGCCTGTTCTGCTCCCCACTCTGTCTCTGGTGAATCCTCTCACCTTCCGCATCTCTGGCCTGTACCCCAGTTCTATAATAAATAAATCTTTAAAAAAAATCAGATAAGCAGTACAGAGGTCAGAGGTAGCCATCAGAAAAAAACACGTATAGATATTTATTGATACTCCCTAACATTAGATTAGCCCAAATGGCAAGGGACTATGTGCATAATCCCTGTGTTTAATAGAAAAGAGGAATCTGTTTTCTTCTCTGGCCACAGATATGTGAGAAAGGATTAACTCAGCTATCTGACTTTTGAAATTTAATGGATGTGTTTATGGAGGAATATTAGAGGTGACTGGTATTGGTTCAAATATGCTAAATTTCTTGAACCTGGACTATGGTTTTGAAAATTCAAGATGCATTTAGCAAAGCAAGGAAAAATAAATTCAGGCTGCTAGCTTGGCAGCTGGTCTGGATACAGTATTTTGCTCTGTTTACTCTGTCAGGAAGCCAGTTCCATTTGATTAAATTCTGAAATTAGAATGCATGCACTCTGGAAGATACCAAGCAGCTTCATGCTTTTACCCGTATGGAAAATGTGATTAAGGAAATGAACTCAACGGCTGTAGCATCAGAAAAGATCAATGCAACAGCTGTATTCAACTAGGCTCAATGGGCTAGACCTTTACTTTATTAAAATGGATGGCTTTAGCATAGAAACTGTGTCCACATCACAGAACTGCCATATTGCTCTGAACTCAAGCCGAGAAAGGAGCCAAGAGGAGCTGCCATCAAATATTATGGCAGCAGTGCAAATGCAGATCCACTCCCACACCACAAAGCTACAATTTAGCCAACAGGAGACATAATTAAAGAATTTATATGCACAGTCTTCCCACATCAACATACTGCATTATTTTCAAAATGGCAGGTATGTCTGAGTTCAGAAAGTTTTACAGAAATTGCCCCCAAACAGTCTTGAAATTTTCTGTGGGTTAATGTCTTCCCTTTGACTGAAATGAAGTAGGCTATGAATAGTAATAACTTACTGTGAAATACTGTCAGAAGTCAAAGATGACCAGGTATACGACCCCCCCCCCAAAAAAAATCCCATTGTGTTCATTTACCCAGTTAATATAGAGAAAGGTAGGTTTTTTACTGGAAAATACTTAAATAGGTGCCTGTGGTGGCTAAGACTTCACTTTGGCTAGGTAAGCTTGTTAACAAGGTGAAAAACTGAAATGGAATTGAGATATTTTCATTGTACCTGTAGAGCAGAGATACATGAAGGAAACCTGATCTAAGAGGTATTGGACTGGAGTACAATAAAGGTAAGGCTTTCCAGAGCATCCATACATTAATTGAATACCACGTGCCAGGAGCAAATCTTCACATTTCATATTCAAAGAACTGTTTGCAGAGGACTAGTTTATGTCAGCCAAATTCACAAGAAGCTGCTACATAAAGCAGCATCCAGTGGCTCCTGGGACGCTCAGGTGAGCTTCCAAGAACTTGCTCTCGTTAAGAGATGCTGGAGAAATGTTTGGTCTGTTTGGAACCAGAGCAAGAAAAGCTGATGGTTCTTACTTGTCAGTTTTATCTGGCTTCATATCCATCTCTACAGATTAGATACTGGTATTCTCATGCTGGGGTATGCCCTCCCCTCATCAGGCATATTCTCACCTACTGGGCTACTCTTCTAGAAATACATCCTAGACAATCACCTCTCTTAATGTGGTCTTCATTGATAGGAGATAAGGTGAAGAATTTTTGCAGGGCAACCCCATAGCCCCCCAAGATTCAGCAGACCTAATTCATCTGTCCTTTATTCTGGAATGTACCTTATAATCCTATCTAACCTCAGTGATCCTTTCATAGCCCTCTTAAAATATCCATGAATATTCTGAAATGATTTACTAGGACAATGCAAGAACTGATGTATATGATGCAGTTAAAAGCAGCAAGATAACCCAATTGAAGTTAATATGATTAAAGTATAAATAGTAAAAAAATTTTTTTAAATATTTTACCAATAATTAAATTTAGATCTATTTTCTGGTAAAAATGCATATAATACAAATCAAAGTGCTACTACCCAAAAATAAACTTTGGCAAAGTCACTTCCATTAGTTTAGAAAATTCACCTTAACAGTGACAACATATTATACTTAACCATGGATATGAAATATTCATTTTGCCTACTGAACTGGGCTTTTAGTGTGCTTTAACCCACTGCGCCACCAGGGAGGGCCTGACCTGAGTTTTTAATAACATCAGCTGCTCTTAGGAGGTTTGTCCCCACTTTTACATTCTTTCACTGAAAGTTTCATATTGGTTCTTGCTTCCACAATTAGTCTTTGTGACTGTACAGATAAGTTTATATTTGTATGAAGATGTGCAGATGTGAAGAATTTGTATATCCATTGGCTCAGATTTAAAGTAATGGGGCACTTAAGTGAGCGAGGCTCTCCTCTTGTCAAAGGAAACACAGTACACTACATCTTTTATTTTTCAGGCAGATATGTAATTTTTTCAATCAGAGCCCTACTCCTAATGACCCCAGGTCAGAACAAACAGAAATGACTACAGTGACTTCTTATGCTAGAATTTCACTTATTTGTTTACAAATCTCAGCAAAGAAATAGGCTTCAAAGGTTTATCTAGTGATGTATCACTAGATCTGCTCAGTTGCCTCAGTCCCTGCTGAACCTACTGCCCCAGCATAATTAATGGCACGCTCTCACATGTCCTGATTTGCACAGTAAAATATGGTCATCTTGTGTGCTAGACCTAAGTGTTTCCTTCTCATCCTACCAAGTTCATTTTTTGAAGTACAGAATTGTTAGTTAAATGGGAATTATCTAAGAAGCAAGCCACGTAATCCTTTTACATGTGACAAGATTCAGCTTCTATGTGAAATTTTGGCAGTTAATTGATTACCTTGAGATGTCTTATTTCCCACTATTAGGCATTTCTAATTTTTACTAAAATTCTTCTGTTAACCTTCAGTATTTTTTCGCAGCCTAAAACTCACAGCACATAGATTTGGGATTCATTTCTCAACCAGGAGTTACGATACTACTTCCCTAAGGCAGTCATCATAAATTGTGAATTAATTTTTCTACCTCTAGTTCATTTTATACTATCCTAGGCAGAATTGAGAAAATGGACATTTTTCTTTTTTTTTTGCATTGCATTGTTCAAATGATGAACATTGAGAAGCTGCAAAGTTCTAATTTATTGACTACATGACCTTGGAAAGTTTACTTCATCGTTTTGTCCTCCAATTTCTCAGTAATAAATGAAAGTATAATGCCTCTCTTATGGGTCTTGTAAGGAGCAAATGCCGTCTACAAAGCACCAAAAGAGCAGTCACTTCAACTATCTTGATCACCACTTTATTCTAAGTGCTTAATATGGACAGTGGCAGGCACTATCCTCAGTTCTCAGTACTATTCGAACAAACAATGAATAAAAAACCCCTAACACACTGCCTTGCACTAGTTCAGTAAGAGATAGTTGTCATTATTCTTTCAACCACTTTGCCTATCTGGTTTCTAATTTCTCACTACATTAATCATTCTTATGGAAGTTAGCCCTCTTTTTAAGGGTATTCTTATGATATGTTTCTAACAATTTATTTCGGTGAGGTAATACTGCATTATCTTCTGCTTTTACAGAGAAGAGTCCACTGCTTAGATAAAAGTGTTGGCACTGACAAACCCACTCAATTTCTCCCAATACCACTGCTTAACCTTGGGGAATGTATCCTTAAAAAACAAAAATACCAGCAAGTAAGGAGTGATGAGCCACTTAAGGGCAAGGATAGTTTATTAGGAAAAGCCACCGGTGACCAGCACCGATTCTTAGCACTTCTACAGTCCGGTGTGGGGGTCATCTACTAATTGACTAGTCTCGTCTAGAGTACACTTAATCTTTCGGCTGACAGGACCCTGTAAAGTTCATCGGCCATTCATACTGTTGGAAAGCTCTTTGAATGCTTCTGAATGGTTGAATGGGTCAAGATAAACAGGAAAGTTCAAGGGAGATGCCAGAGTGAACAGACAACTTCCTAATAGGAGACTGTAAAGCTTGGGTTTCCATCCTTGTATTTTGGGGCAACCGATTCAGATGAAAGACGCTAGGATTGAATGCAAATAATAAAACAAGTGATCCTCTGGAACCTTTGACAAAGAAATGTAAATTATTTTAATAATTTATAGTTAGGCTTAGGTTTTACTTTAGTGTGGTTGAGATGGTAATCGTCAAGGATAAGTTAGACGGATGTGTTGGGGCACAGGTGGAAGGTTAAGGGAGGATAAACACAAGCATTCATTCACCAACAGGAAAGGGAAGTCATTAGTGCAGACAGCCAGCCAGGTAAGGAATCTCAAATTACAAAGTAGGAGCCCTGAGGAGCTAGCTAGGACTTGTGGAAAGCAGACTCCTTTGGGTCCACTGATGAGATGGAACGCACAAAGGATGGCTAGAAGGACCACAGATTTCGGAGAAGGGCGAGTCTATCAGCTCAGCTTTGTGACATCAATGGGGAAAATAATCTCTTTCGCTCCGCCCTAAACCAATCGCTGGGCCCGGAAGACCACCGGATGGAAGCAGTGGGAATGTTTCTTTTGTGCTAAGCTGTACTAACCGAGCTCCTACGTATTTGTATTTTGTACATTTCCGCGAAAATACACCCTTCTAAAAAGAAGACAGCGGGCGCACCAGGAAGGGTTTTACAGGTCTTGTTCACAAGCTAATGGAGGGCGGCAGTCGGTGAAGCTGGGGTGCGGGCGGCCACAGCTCCGGAGCTCGCAGTCGCTGCTGCAGCACACTTCTCAGGAGGTCGAGCTTCACCCCGGGGGTCGGGTAAGGCGAGAACCGGGGCTGACGGCCTCGGCTCCGCGCGTCCGCGTCCCTCGCCTTTATAAGGCGCGTCGGGGTCCGACCCCCGCCCGCCGCCCGCCGGCTCTCGGTCCAAACACTCGGCCGCGCCGCCGGCCGAGGTGCTGCTCCCGGGGTTGGTGCCCCGGGCCCGGCAACCAGGCAGCTGTCTCCGGAGACCCTCGCCAGCGCGGAGGCCGCAGGCCTGAGGTCGCCGCTGGCGGGGCGGCCGGCCCCCCAGTTCCGCTGATCGCCGGCGGACAGGGCCACCCAGTTCAGGGCCATCTTCTAACACTGCCCGCGGTATCTGCGCGCGTCTCCGGCAAGGTCGGCCCACCGGCACCCAGGTCAGAGCAGGCGGCTCCGTACAGCCACACGGCCGGCAGCGGTAGCCATCGCCAGAGTCACAGCGGCCGCGGCGGCCGCTTTTAAACTGCGCCCCCTCGCGAGCCTGCGCAGTCGACGCCGGCGGGAGCGAGCGTGAGTGACGCCGACGCGCACGTCGCCGGGCGCGTAGGGACGTGGGGCTTCCGAGACTGCGCAGTGAGTGCGTCGGCGACGACCCTCCGGCCGGAGCAGGAAGGGGCGACGCTGAGATGGGGGCCGCGGCTGCGGAAGCCGATCGCACGCTCTTTGTGGGCAACCTGGAGACGAAGGTGACGGAGGAGCTCCTGTTCGAGCTTTTCCACCAGGTACGCGGTGGGGGGCTCCGGTGCCTTTCGCTTTCCGACTCGCAAGCTGGACGGGCGGGCCGGGCACCCGCAGATGGGCCGCTTGGGGCCGAAGGTCCGGTGGGAGCGAGCCACTCGCTGGGTGTCGCCCCAGGGGAAGACGCCTGCAGAGTTTTCGCCAAAGTGGCGGCCAAGAGTGGAGGAGCGATTCTCCGGCCGGGGACCCGGCTGGGGTGAAGATTCGGGGCTCCCAAGGGACATAGGACGTGTGGATTCCTCGCTGAGCAGCGCTCTTTGCACTGTGGCCCTTTTTCTCACCAGAAGCGTTTTTCTCTCCCAAAACACTCTGCCTCTGGTTCGTGATAGACTTAACAAGCCTCCTCAGAAGAACAGCGCTCCAGTGTTTGTGCGTTACAATGTACTAAAAATCTTAAGATTCCTTTTCCCCACCCTGGCTCAGTTCTATCAATGCTTGGTTAGTGCATTTTTAAAAAGTGAGTTTTTAGTCCAGGGAATCCGAGCCACTTTCTCTTGGTCTTGATAGTGACACGGGAAAGTATCTTCGCATTGTTACAAAGTTTCTGAAGTGCTGTGGGGTGTAAATTAAGTGATGGCGTTTACAGGTCGTCTAATTGTTGCTCATAACTGTAGGATCTTTAACTATAGGGTCTTTAGCCGGGATGGGAATCTTGTCTGTATCCATTTTTTTTTGAAGTAATTAATTACATTTCTGTTTTTAAACGTTGTAATTTAAGCATTTTCCTGAAATTGCCTTGCATTCTGAACGCTGTTTTGTTTGCAGGCGGGACCAGTAATAAAAGTGAAAATTCCGAAAGATAAGGATGGGAAACCAAAGCAGTTTGCATTTGTGAATTTCAAACATGAAGTATCTGTTCCGTATGCAATGAATCTACTTAATGGAATCAAACTTTTTGGAAGGCCTATCAAAATTCAGTTTAGATCGGGTAACTGTTTAATGGTATTGGCTTGGGGTGAGGGAGGGGGTGTTCGCTCTGCTTTTGTTGTGAATTTATTACGCACTTTTAAAGAATATTTTTCTGGGTGAAAATACTATTTGTGAAGAGATTTACATATTCCTCAAATGAGTAACATTGACAGCAGGATTTTCAAAGTTGTAATTTTTAAATTGGATTTAAAATCGCAATTTGGGTCACTGAAAAGAATAACTATTGTTAGACTTAGGGTGTGGCTTCCCTGAAAACAGCAAGGATTATTTTCTGAAAATTGGTTTCCTGGCTGCTTTGTGATGTACAAATTTTGATTCTTGATCATGTGAGCATGAAACTGTATGTGTCCAGTCTTACACTTCAGGGTGGGCATTATGATAGTATGGTCATAATGAAATTTGTAAATTTAACATTACCTTTTGGGGACCCTTGGTTTTGATAAACCTGGTATTCACTTTCACTCTAATGAAGCTAAAAACTTATTTATTGAATGTGAGTTTTTTTTTTTTCTTTTTTGGAATAATTTGGGGTTGGGGAAACATTTCAAATGAAATTCTTCTATCAAAAATTTTCGAATTATTTTATTTTAGGAAGTAGCCATGCATCACAGGATGTCAGTATGTCTTATTCCCAACATCATGTTGGAAATTCAAGCCCTACCTCCACATCTCCCAGCAGGTAGTATTACCTATTGTTTAAATAATTTGGGCAAATTTTTTTAAGTGTAGTGATGGCAACTTGCATAATGAATGATTAGTTTATGCTTTACCTCTTCTACTTGGGGACTATAGTTGATATATCTCTATTTCAGGGGACCTGTAGACACTTTTATAGTGATTCAAATAGCATAATTATATAATCTCATTTCTGATCCTATCCTGCCATTTGTGAGGAAAAGAAGTTGAAACAGCACTAAATCTCATCCCGCTACTAAAGGTTAGAAAAAATTATGTAGTTACTTAGTAAGATTATTTGTTTTGGGGGAACTGACATTTTACCAGGACAATTCCCCTGATGTATCAATACATCTATTAATCATAATGGGCTTTATTCAAGAAAAAGTTAAAAAATACATGTCATAACACTAGGTTTTTGACCAAGTCCTTTATGTTTATGATCTCATTTATTCCTCGTAGCAGTTTTATGATATAGGGATTATTACCTGTCCCTTTTATGTGAAGAAAGTGAGTGGAGGTTAACTGATTACTCGAAGTAGTGGGCTGGTAGTATGGTCAAGCCCAGTGACTATATAATATGCTGCTTAGTGGAGCTTAACATCTATTTGAAGACACATACTGAGGAGTCTCAGATCTTTTTAAAATGAATATGGAACAAAAAGAGGCCATTGCACCTAAATCATAAGGAATGAGAGATGGATATTGGTGGATTAGATACAGACCATGTAGGCCATAATTGGAATTTGGGTCAGTTCAACATTTGTTGAAATGTTTTCAGTAGAGATTAGTGATACTACTGGCTTTTGTATTTTAAAGTTATGTGTTGCAGTGGGGGAGTGGATTGGAAGGGACAAGAGTGAAAATATAAAAGCTCAACAAGGAAACAGTTGGTAGCAAGCTTGATATTGGTATTAGCAAGACTGCAAGGTACATGATAGTTTGGATTGGGGTGCCAAGAGCTAGAGAGAGATGGTATCTCTAACCATTTTATAGAACCTACAAAAGTACCTTAGAAGGAAAAGAGGGTTTATCCTCTCCTCCCCCCCCAGAATTCCTTGAGTACAAAGATATATAATAATTTTTCATAAGTAAAATTACTTTTTACTTCCTTAGTGTGTAACTTCATAGCCTCTTTAAGAAACCCCAAAATATAAGATCTGAATGGTTATTTGATTCCAAAGACTTATTTTCAAGTAAAAAAGATTTTTTTTTAAAGATTTATTTATTTATACATACAGAACTGGAATACAGGCCAGAGGTGCAGGGTGGCGAGAGGCGTCACCATAGACAGAGTGGGGAGCAGAACAGGCAGATCGAC